GAATTACCTGTGTAGTCAGCAAAACGTAGATAAAACGTATGTTTTTGCACACGTCATAATCTTGAATCGGTGCCAAGTATTTTACCTGTGAAGTCAGCATAAAAAAACGTAGGTAAAACGTACACAGGCCCCGCCCCCCTCAAGGAAATCCAGTTTGAACCGGCTGGCTGGCTAGACCGTCTAGACTGTGAATGAATGCGTGATGTCATAATCACATTCTTGAATACTTGCCAAAATCGTAGTAGCAGCGTTGTGAATCGTAGTAGCAGCGTAGTGTATCATGTAAACATAGTGTAAACACACCCTATATTTAGGGGGCTATATGTACTGAATTGACCCACCTATCCCCCCAGGGGCTGCACTCTATTGACCCACCTATCCCCTCCAGGGGCTGCACTCCTTTGGCCCACCTATCCCCCACAGGGGCTGCACTAGGTTGAACCCCCTATCCCCCACAGGGGCTGCACTCAGTTGAACCCCCTATCCCCCACAGCCCCAAAAGTGCACTCAGGGGCTGCACTAGGTTGAACCCCCTATCCCCCACAGGGGCTGCACTCAGTTGAACCCCCTATCCCCCACAGCCCCAAAAGTGCACTCAGTTGAACCCCCCAGCCAGACCCTTTATACTACTTTTATGCACTTTCTTCATCAAAATTAATGAAAAAACGAATTGTTATTTGCAGAAGAAAGTTGTTTTATTATTACAATGATTTCTTTGGTAAAAATTTCGAAATTTAATTATATTTTATAACATTTCATGTCTCTCGATCTAATTATTTAATCATTTTGTTTTCCACAAAATTCGGCGTTAATATGGCGTGTATAACTTTACCTTAAAACCTGTCACCTTTAATCATGTTTATCAACAAAGTTGCTATTTTTATTTATTATTTCAACAAGCGATTTGTAGCTTTTTTTGCAGACATAGTGAATACTACATTATTCTGGTAATGACATGTTCATTCTTTTTTTCTCATAACCAGATAACAAGGAAATTAATCTAGAGATTACTTCCTAACTTGCTTGTCTTGTGAGAGGGGGAGAGTTATTTTATTTATTTTAATTATCTCTGGGGAAAAAAATGTCTCTGTAGTTTATAAAGACATCTCATTTTTGAAAATCTTAACGGTTATCTCTCTAATATGACAATGAAAGATGTTTCTATAAACTTGTTTTAAGATATACTGCTCTATATATTGAGATTTCTCTCTCACTGAAAGAGGTATCTCTCTTCCTTAAAAAGCTATCTCTCTAAGTATAAGAGATATCTCTCTTAATAAAAAAATATATCTTTGTTGTAAAAGATATCTCACTAGATTATAAATATGTATCTTAATCAAATATAGATTTTTTTAAAGTTAAAGATATATCTCTGTATGCTAAAGAGATATCTCTCTTATAAAGAGAACGTTTTTTAGGAATAAATAGTAAAAGGGCTTGCCAAATAAAATACTTTTACTGAACTTATTCTTTGCGGATTACTTAGTCTAGTTTATTTTAGACAGTTATAGTTGCTGTTTTGCAAGTTATCTCTATAATGATTTTACCATTTAATTTAACAGTTAGTGAAAAAAATATAGAAGTACGAGAGAGCAGTATTGACGGACACTTGTGATAACTAGATTTTCATTTTCCATATATCAAACTTGTCTTAGCGGCCACCCGAAATCAACGGCCAATTGCGGTGATTAATTGAGTTCCCCCCGACGATTTTCCCTATATATTCTAACTGGAATAAACGGCCACCTGTGTAACGCGGCCAGCGGCCACTCAAATCCTCCCCCAACAGCCTTATGGACACTGTAATAGGCGGCCATTTCGTCACTTGCTGTGATTCTATTACGTCTTTTAAACTCATTCGCTTGGGTAATTATATCCCGATAGCCAATTTAACCCAGCTATTAATGCAATTAAACAAATTACTATTGGATACACTGAACTCTGTTTGTGTTTATGAAAAAAAAACTGTTAGATGGATTTGTTATTATTTTTCAAGATCGCCGATTGAAAAAATGAGCAGAATTTAAATACAATTGATACTTTCCTCTACATAAAGAAATTCACACCTTTTAGATTTTGATTCCATGTAGAAACCCTAATTGCTACTCTTGTGAAAACAAAGTGCTTCATGTGGCATGATTATCTCGTGAATTTCACTATCAACAGACGATCGAAAGGGATTAGTCACGCTCCACTGCCTTTGACACCTGTGTTGTGGAATGATTTTCAACTGCGTCAATACATCTCTCTGGTCAACTGGTTAATTTTATTTGTGTGTTTTTGTATGTTACATAGAAATTCTGTCAGCTTTATAAACAATAAAATTTACCATGAATGAATGAATTCAGCAAGTAAGTTAATTGCCGATGAATTATTTGGGGGGTGGGGGTGGGTTACACTGCTGACCATTTTTGAACATAATTATGCAAATGGAATTTTTATTGACATATTCTTATTTAAATTTCTATGATTTATTTTATTTACCACTAAAATGTATTTTTGTGTAATTCTTTTTCTTTATAAAAAAGGATAATAACCATGCACTGTATATATTTCTAATTTAACTAATATATAGGAACAGAAACATCACAAAAACTTTTTTAAAAAATTCTAATTCTTTAAAAAAAAATTTTATTGAGCTTGAATTATTATATATACATAAAAAAGCCTTTGTTAAATTGACCTGTTTTATTATTTGATTAATTTAACTATAGTGCTTAATGTTGGTTATTCATTGCCCGGATGTCTTTTTGAGGGCAAACTGGAATAAGAGGTGTCTAAATTTAAGTGGGAGTTTCCAGACTTCCCAAAGGTGGCCTCTTAAAACAAGTTTGACTGTATATATTGTAGTGAAGTTAGCAATTCTGATTAATTGATAAATACTTTTATCAACTTATGTTTCGTTTGAATAACCAATTTTTATATCTGTTTTAAAGGAAAATTTTTAATTAATGGCAGTGTAACAGTTGAATAGAGGCGAATAACTATTAAGCTATTGCTCTCCATTCATCATTGAAGTGTCAGTACGAGTCGCATAAAAAAAGTGACACTGCATTTTTTTTTTTAATTTTAATTCCTATGATATACAACGTTAAAAACATCACACACGTGAAACAAATCACACAGGAATATATTCAGAAAGTGAATAATACTATAATTATAAAATGTCAAAGAAAAAATTAAAGTCGTCGGAATCCTTAATGTTAAGACGGCCTTAAACATAAGTTATCTCATTAATCTCTACGGACCCGTCAATGTGTAACTCATCGTAAGTTTCAAGAGGGAACAACCTGATGTTGAAGAAGTGAGGATCCGGATTCTGTTTGATGAAAATCTGAAAAAAGACAATATTTTTTATTTATGTTCCACATTCATCTCATAAACAATCTGCGTGTTTTAATTTACAGTGGGAGTGTTCAGCTAACTCATTTATAGAGATTGATACTAGAGTTTAGGGTAGTTGTGTCTGGATGGCATATATTTATGGACATATTATGGTGTAAAGATATATAATAGCTGTGAAATCACAAATTGTCGTGGAGGTTAATTTGTTTGCTTTTGAGGTATGAGGATACACACGAATTCATGTTCACCACAAAATGTAAAATGTTACATAAGTACTTATTAATCTTTGATCAACAAAATCAAATCCTCACGAACCAAAAGTTTTTTCCTCACACCACGATAATTTGATCCCACAAAAGCATGTGATTTTACAGTATGTGTTACAAATGTTTCCAGATTCTTCTCCTGGTAAAACAATCTGTGTGTTTAAATTCAGAGTGGGAGTGTTCGATTAACTTAATTATAGAGATTAAAACAAGGGATTAAGGAAGATAAATACAAAATGGATGCCTGGGTGGTAAATATTTATGGACATATTTTGGTTGCAAATAAATCAACAATTTCTGAAGTTTTACGAAATTTTAGACTTTGATGTTCAAACTTTATTCTTTCTCCAATCATCCTTAATCATAAATATAACTTTTCACCCCTTTAAATCCCCACATTATAAAAATTCGAATGAAAAATGAACATCTATGCGGTTAAAGTTGTTCATATTACTACTCATGCAATTCTTTATATGTCATTTTTAAGGTTTTTGACAAAAATTTGTATCATCTGTCTGTAAACTAAAGAATATTTTCACTGGTACTTGTGGATACATGTAGGATGGAAAATTTATAACCCCCTTTTCAATTTTTTTTACTTCATAGAACATCTTTTTTTTACTTTATTTACACGTATGTGTCTGTTTATCTTAAAACGCATAAAAATTACGACGGAAAATGGCCGTCTTATTTCTCTATTCATAATATGACCAAACGATTGGCTTGTGTGATAATTTGCCAATGGTGTTTATGCAAAAAATTATCACGCAAACCAATCGATTGATCCTCATCATATTCAAATGATATTGATTCCGCCAATCCACACGCCAGATAAAAGACCAAGCCTCTTCTCTCTATATATTTTTCCCGCCCTACGCGCAATTTTTTACCGTGCCTAACGACGATCTTTACTTTGAAGGAGAAATAAATTACATTAACTATTAGAAATTTTGGAAATGTAAATATTTGGTTGTACATGTATACAGATTTAACAATATGTTTAACTTGTACCGTGTATTCATTCGGCTGTACATGTATACAGATTTCAAAAGGTTGACCAGGCTGAAACATGCTTCCATCAATCCTCTCTTCCTGCCCCCATCCTCCCTGACAATGGTTCATCACAACACAGCCATTCAAATGGAAGCCATAGTCCTCCCCAGATTTGAGGTTGATCGCAAATCTACAGAGAAGATTTGTATGTCATGGATTTATCATTGTCTATATGTAATTGTGTTTTTTTTTCTTTTAATTTTTTCTAAACTATTTTGCAGATTTGACCCTCAGATAATATTCAGTGACCTGGTTTTTGTAAATGATTCGATTTTTTTTTCAAGATAATGGCAAAAAAAATCCTTTGTTTACCTGAGCTTAATTATTCTAGCTCAGTTAATGCTTTTAAACATTTTTAGTTATAAGATGTGCACAAGATAGAATATCATGTACCTGTCATCTGCCGTCACCACGCCTTTAATGATTATGGATCTCCCTGGAACAATCCCATCAGGAACTTTCGTAAAATATGGCACAGACTGTAATGTACATAAACATATATAAAATTTCAATGTCTTCAAAGTTCTCTTTGCGGCCTCATCAAAAATGCACTTAAAGGTAAAAAATGTTGTTACTGTTATTTTTTCTACACTTTTTTACGACATGAAAAGTGAGTTTATTGAATCAAATTTGAATAAAGCATAGTAACAACGCGAAATGTAATAACAACGCGAAAGGTAATAAACCTGGATTATTACATTTTGCGTTATTACATTTCGCAATGAAATATACGCAGAATGTAATAACGCAAAATGTAACAACACACTTTTGAGGATTATTACATTTTGCATCGTGATCAATGCAAGATGTAATAACACGATTTTTTTATTATTACATTTTGCGCTGTTACATTTTGCGTCGAGACTAAGCAAAGGCAGGAGCGCAAAATGTAATAACACATTTTTTTCGTTAGCTAGATTGAGTACAATTTTCAATGGTGTAGTGGCTGATGAAAAGAAAATAAAACAAAATAAAAAATTAGATATACACAATTTCTTACAATTAATAAATTTTATTATATATTGATTTGATTACTAGTAGCTACATGTATTTCCAATCAATTTCATAAATGTATTCAAATTATAGTTGTTGCAATTAGAAACGCGCATCTGTGGGCAGGGTTGTTGGGGGGTATTGACCATTATGCTTTTGCTTTTTTTTATATAGACAAATGCAATGAATCTAAAAAAAAATATTCATTTGTACGGGCTGGTGTAAATTTATAGCGGGAAGGGGTTATTGACAATAATGATGCCATACTGTTCCAGGCAAATCCCCAGCATTGCAGACAAGCGAAAACAAAATTATATCACTCTCTTTCCATCCTATGATAAAATGGATTGTTTCTGCATGTCCACAATGATGCAATAATAAACATACGAAGTAAACATCCCACCCTATCCCTGCACCTTCTCGCTTGACACATACATACACTTCTAATTTGTTAACCAATGTATACATGCCAAATATGCATATCAATAGCTTTTAATGAATCTATGGTCAATCTTTGGTAATTAAATATGTGTTATTGGTTAGAAATTTAAAAAGACTATAAAAATATGCCAATCAAAGTGAAATTAATTCTGTATAATTTTAAAGCACAGTGCATTCAATATTACTAAAATCAGAGTCAGAAAAACGATACTTTTAGATGTATTTATGTTTGTAAAAGCTCTAACGTCAGTCTCATTGTTTTAGTTCTAAATATTTTAACAGCGTGTTTCCCATTATGATATACATTTTGAATATAATTCCAAAAAGGAACAAAAGAATCAATTTTATGATCTTTTTTGTTAAACGCATGGAAAATTCTACAATAAAATTAATTATATTTTGTTTTATTATATATTGCTTATTACATTTTGCGCAAATTTGTCTTCAGTGCAAAAATAAAATAACGCAAAATGTAACAACGAAAAAGGACTTTATTACGTTTTGCAAAAAATTAATTATATTTTGTTTTAATATATATTGATCTCAACGCAAAATGTAATAAATCTAAAAATCGCGTTATTACATTTCGCGTTATTACATTTTGCGTTAATCTCGACGCAAAATGTAATAACGCAAAATATTATAATCCAGGTTTATTACATTGAGCGTTGTTATTACATTTCGTGTTGTAACAAAGCATACTTAAAGATCATGATGAAGATATTTTGAATAGAATAAGATGGTGGAAAAGAGAAGATGGCAGTATAAGATAATGGAAGATCGGGAAAGGGAGAAAACTAAGGATGGTGAAAGAGGGGAAGGGGATAATACATTTAGGATTGTGAGAGAGGGAGGAGGGGATAGGATGGTGAAACATGAAGGAGCTATGATAAGATGGAAGTTGAGGGAGGAGGGGGATAAGATTGTCGAGGAGGGGATAGGATTGTGAAACATGAAGGAGGAAAGATAAGATGGTAGTTTAGGGAGGAGGGGGGGTAGGATTGTGAAAGAGGGAGGAGGGGCAATAAGATGATTGGAGAGGAATAGGATTGTGGAAGAAGGAGGCGGGGAAATTTAAAAAATGGTGGTTGGGGAGTAGGGGAAAATAGATGGTGGTGGAGGGAGGAGTGGGAAAACATTGTCCAATCGGAGAAGGGGATAGAATTAAGAAAGAGAGAGGAGGCGGAATAACATGTTGGATTAGGGAGTAGGAGAGAATAGGATGTTGAAAGAGGGAGGAGGGGAAATAGGTTGATTGAAGAGGGGGTGTTGATGATAAGATTGTGGAAAAGGGATGCGGATAAAATAAAATGGTGGTGGAGGGAGGGAAGGGATCAGGAGCGTGGAAGAGGGAGGAGAGAATAGGATGATGAGAAATGGAAGATGGACAATTTGGATGGTTGAAAAGGAAGAAGGGGAGAATAATATTTATGAAAGAGAGAAGAGGGGCAGACAGGATTTGAAGGATAGGAGTCAGTAGAAATTATATTGATTGCGTTTTCAGCTAGTGTCAGTATCTTGAAACATCTTTTACCGTTTTTTTTTCATAAGTATTCTTAAAAAAACGTACAGTATTTTCAAGATTTTTTTTAATCTAAATCTTTTATAGTTTTGTACTTTAAGAAAATTTATTTATTGTTTGTTGGGCAATTATTATTTCAGACTAGCTTCACACACTTACAGCTGAACTCGTTAACTAAAAGTGCCCTGTTTAAAACAAAGGAATGTTTAAAGATCACATACACAAAGATACTTAAAACAGTTATTCAAATAACCCGCATTGAAACTCAATCTAGAAAAGATATTGTATTTCGAAATACTCCTTCTATTATTGAGACCCTTCGTTTTTGACTTAAAAGATAAAAATCTTTTGGGGTGGTACTTTTGTAAAACCTGTCGTGTGTTAATTCTAATAGCTTCAAAAGATTCGGATTTAAATATGTTCTTTGGTATACATTTTTACGATTACGATATAAAAAAAACTTACAACACCATTTTAATAAGTAATTATAGAATAGCTCAAACACTTCCTCGGTTGTCATGTTGATATTTCAAATTTCTCTTTTTTAATATCTTAATCTGCAGAGACTTATCATAGAGCCTGTGTAAGTTAACTAAACAGTAAGTAAAAAAAAAAACAATACGATCACAAAGAAAATGAAATTGATTACAACGATAATTCAATGCCATGTTGCAAAATCTAACATGTACATCACCTCGCATCTAGCGTAAAGAAGCATATTACTTAGAAGGGGGAAAAGGTCATTGCTTATAGAAAAAAAAAAAACTTTGTTTTTATTTTTGAACATCCTAAATATAAATGAATAATGCAATGGTTTTTGAAATATAAGGCATATAAATTTACTCTTTCTTCATGATATTCATAAGAGGCATTGATGTGGGGAAAACTGTGACCATTTTTTATTCGTACATGTTATCAAAATCTTCTGAAAAGCCCCAGGGCTTCCAATACTTAATGGCCTAAAAACCTAAAATACCAAAACAACCCTAACAAAAAATATATAGTTAACTATAGTTTACTAAAGTTAACTATAGTGATAATTTTTACACTTTGAAAATTTGATTTTCTATAGTGATAACTTTGACACTTTGAAAAACTTTGACGAAAATTTGACACTTTGAAAAACTTTGACGAAAATTTGAATTTAAAAACTTTAAAAAATTTAACACTTTGAAAAACTTTGACGAAAACTTTGACACTTTGAAAAACTTTGGCGAAAAATTTGACACTTTGAAAAACTTTGGCGGAAACTTTGACACTTTGAAAAACTTTGACGAAAATTTAACTTTGAAAAACTTTGGCGAAAACTTTGACACTTTGAAAAACTTTGACGAAAACTTTGACACTTTGAAAAACTTTGGGGAAAACTTTGACACTTTGAAAAACTTTGGCAAAACTTTGACACTTTTTAAAAACTTTGGCGAAAACTTTGACACTTTGAAAAACTTTGACGAAAACTTTGATACTTCGAAAAACTTAATCGAAAACTTGGGTACTTCCAAAAAATTTATTGAAAATTGGATACTTCCAAAAACTTAATCAAAACTTGGATACTTCGAAAAACTTAATCGAAAACTTGGATGCTTTAAAA